GAAAGAAAGAAAGAAAGAAAGAAAGAAAGAAAGAAAGAAAGAAAGAAAGAAAGAAAACAATGCAAAGATTTTCCATGTTCGTGGATTGGCAGGGGTTAACAGTGTGAAAATTGCCATTCTACCAAAAGCAATCTACAGGTTCAATACATTCCCCATCAAAACTCTAATATAGTTCTTCCCAGAAATTGCAAACAGTAATCATAAATTTCATGTGGAAATACAAAAGAGCCAGGATATATAAAATAATCCTGAACAACAACAGCAAAACTGCTCCAGGCATCAACACCTCAGATTTCAAATTATACCACAGAGCGAGTCATAAAAACAGCACAATGCTGACACAAAAGCATGAAAATAAAATAAAAATGTAATCCTCAAAGAACTAATAAAATATTAAGGAAAAAAAGAACCTTAATGGCATTCACGAAAGGAGCCTTCATGATCAGCTCACCCTGTGTTCAGGGCAGCCTCTGGTGTTTCTGCAGTGCTAGATGAAGGCCTGTGACATTCCAGGACAGTCTCCTGTCTCCATCTCTCGTCTAACCACAGGAGGGCTGAGTTTCCAGATCTGCCTTTACAGGTGGATTCTAAGGTCAGCCCGAGGTCATCGGGCTGGAATCGGGGACCCTAACCGGACCCACTCACTGGTCCCTAACTGAACACACTAACACCACTACAGTGGAGATTAGGTTGGCCATGTTGTTTAGAAGGGATGGAAGCATTCAGTCCACAGCACAATGATCATTTCAATGGGAAAGATTATGCCAGGCACCAAGATTTTCCACAAACAGAAACGATAAGAGTACCAGTACTTGAGGTCAGGCTGTCCTGCTAGACAGCCTAGGTTTTAAAAATTGTATTCACAGCTATCCACAGTTGCTTCCTTGTGACTACTAGAGTTTGAGCTATGGCTTGGTAACTGGTAGAGGATCCTGGGGTCTGTTTATTAAGCATTTAGTGCCAGGTGATGCTGGATGAAGGTGAAGTCAGTATGTCTTTGGCAGACAAACCTCTCCTCCTTAAAATATGTAGACTACTTATGATGATTTTTTAAAAAGGTTTATTTATTTATTATGTAAACAATGTTCTGTCTGCATGTATGCATGCCAGAAGAGGGCACCAGATTTCATTAAAGATGGTTGTGAGCCACCATGTGGTTGCTGGGAATTGAACTCATCACCTCTGGAAGAGCAGCCAGTGCTCTTAACCTCTGAGCCACCTCTCCAGCCCACTTAGGACAGTCTTAAAGAATTAGTACAAACAAACACATAATTATCAACCATGTTAAGTGCCCTGAAGGGAAAGTATAGTGTTCAAGACCTGATCCAGTCTGAACACAGGCTAAAGAAAAAAAAATAAAACAACAGGGATAATTAAAGCCCAAGCAGACAGAGGACTAATATCCAGTATATATAAAGAACTAAAGAAGTTAAACATCAAAAAATCAAGTAATCCAATTAAAAAATGGAGTACAGAGCTAAACAGAGAATTGTCAACAGAGGAATATCAAATGGCAGAGAAACACTTAAAGAAATGCTCAACCTCATTAGCCATCAGGGAAATGCAAATCAAAACGACCCTGAGATTATCACCTTACACCCATCAGAATGGCCAAGATGAAAAACTCAAGAGACAACAAATGCTGGAGAGGTTGTGGAGAAAGGGGAACCCTTCTCCACTGCTGGTGGGAATGTAAACTTGAACAACCACTCTGGAAAGCAATCTGGCGCTTTCTCAGACAAGTAGGAAGAGTGCTTACTCAAGATCCAGCTATACCACTCCTAGGCATATATCCAAAAGATTTTCAAGTACACAATAAGGACATTTGCTCAACCATGTTTGTAGCAGCCTTATTTGTAATAGCCAGAAGCTGGAAACAACCCAGATGCCCCTCAGTGGAGGAATGGATGCACAAATTGTGGTATATCTACACCATGGAATATTACTCAGCAATAAAAAAACAAGGAAATCATGAAATTTGCAGGTAAATGGTGGGATCTGAAAAAGATCATCCTGAGTGAGCTATCCCAGAAGCAGAGAGATGCGCACGGTATATACTCACTCATATACACATATAATATAGGATAAACCTACTAAAAATCTATACACCTAAAGAAACTATTCAAGAGGGAGGACTCTTGCTAAAATGCCCAATCCTCATTGCAAAAGGCAAAGAGGATAGACATCAGAAGAAGGAGAAAAGAGGGAACAAGTCAGGAGCCTGACACAGAGGACCTCTGAAAGGCTCTGCCCTGCAGACTATCAATGCAGATGCTGAGACTTATGGGCAACCTTTGGGCAGAGTGCAGGGAATCTTATGGAAAGAAGTGGGAAACAGTAAGATCTGGGGAGGACAGGAACTCCACAAGGAGAGCAACAGAACCAAAAAATCAGAACACAGGGGTCTTTCCTGAGACTGATACTCCAACCAAGGACTATGCATGGAGATAACCTAAGACCCCTGCACAGATGTAACTCATGGCAGTTCAGTATCCAAG